ATAAAAATGGTAATTAACCTACACCTCTGAGATATGGTGAAATAACTTTGAGGTCCCTATGATATTGGTAATTACATCCACACTCCTAAAACAATTACCGGAGTCAAGATTTTATGTCTTGGGAACCGATATGCGCTATATTTTTTTCCCTGGGGCCGTTAATGCTACCATAGATGAAAAATTATAAATCTTCTATAAAATATTAAGGATTTAAGAAATGTTACGAGAGCCATGTCATCCCCTAGCTCTCTATGTTGTCTCCACCAATACCTGAAACTAATAGTTCGTTAGAACCCTAACGGAATAACTTATCTAGTGAATTATTCCATTAGGATTTCTAACAATATTTCAGGGGAGTGATTATAATTGCAGATACTACATGGACCTTATAGTTATTTCAGCATAACTCAAGGGTGTAGGTATAATTTTACCCTTATAAAAATTGGTATCTAGTTTTGACTCTTAAGGTCAAGTTGGTCCAAACTCCAAACATAATTTTATACAATAATAATAAGAAATTGCTCTCGTTCATTTTCTTCTTTTTTTTTTCAAAATAAATAAAATAACATAACAAAAGGAAAAATAAAAAATAACAAAATAATTACAAGTTTGGGCTCACAAATTAGTCCGGTTGGATACTTTATAATAATATTTCTTCTGTAAAATTCTCGTAATACATATTTCAGTAATGGTTTGATTAAAACTATTCAACGATAAGCAAAGAAATAAAACCCTAGGTAGCCTTTACTATCTTTCTTCACCCACAAGTTTCTCTAACCGCCATGGATGTAACCGTTAAACACGAAATAAAGACGGAAATCGCAGAGGTATATATACTTTCGCCAAATTACGATTTTTTCCATATGTGTTTTTGTTTATGATTTTTTAGGGTTCCAAAGTTTTGTAGAAATTTCCAATAATACGAACTATGTAGATTGATTTATATCCATTGATACAAATAAGTTTTCTAAACTGCGTATTTCATGTTATAAATATGTATCGCATGTACAATTTAAAATGATCAATAGATACATACATAGGAATATGATAGCATTGTTTTTCTTCGTGTTTTGTAATTTTTCAGCTTAATGATAACGTGTTTCCGAATCAGAATGTAAATGCTTATCCTATCTTTCCGGGTAACGAGTATCGTTTAGTTCCTCTGCTTCCTGCTAATGCTGGTGTCCAACACGGGAATAATGGCCCTCGTGATGCGAAGAGGCAGGTAATAAAACCTTTTTCCATTAGTGAATAATGCGTTTTCATTCAATATTGTATTTCGTTTCAAAATATTCTGCTAAACGATCTATCTATTGATTGCCATTTCATTAAATTAGTAGCACCGTTATAATTAATATTAATTTTGTGGCGTGACTAAACAAAGAAAATACTGTTCTATCCACAAAATTATATTATAATTGTGTTATATAAGAGGTTTACAGACAAATCACATTTAATACCAGAAATTAATAGATTTAATACAAGATCGTCTAATCTAGGGAATCGGGCATCTTATTAACAAAATAATTAATTAGTCAGTAGCGGATTAATCGAATATCATCTAATCCGAATTAATCCGATATATATGCCACCGAACGAGTCCTAAAAAAATCACTTGTTTTATTTGCAAGGATGGAGAAGTGTTGGAAGTGACTCGTGTACCTGATGGACATTATGCCATCGTGGAAGATAATATGGTTCTAGTTCCTCCGAGTCACATTCCAATTCCCCCGGGAGAACATATTGTACAACCTGGCTGGAAAAAAGTTCCTATTGGTTCAATTGTGGAGCCTCCCCCAAATCCGAGGCCTTGTCGATCGCGATCACATGATCCTGTTTACCCTCGA